GTTTCTACGGGGTCACTTTTAGCTTGCTTTCAAACCATCTTATGAAGTAGATTATGGCTCATAGTGTTTAACAACCGCTTCGGTTGACAAACGATGTCAATTTCGCAAACTGGTTTACGTTTCCTGACCATAACTATATGCCTAACTAGCTTCAGCATCATCCACTCAGTGCTTTTAGCGCAAGTGAGAAATACCTTAGTGAAGCTCATGATAAAGTATCCATAAGATTCAAATGTTGTTTACTTCAAGCGACTACATCTTTCACTTGTAAAGTACGGCGGAGAAGTACACTACTGTCCAGTGTTCATCCTCTTTGGCAGATAGCTCTTCAGCATCAGAAATAAGATAGATTGGCAAGCGTATAACTGCTAGTAAATTTCAACAGAGTGAAACCAACAATGACACTAGTTTGTTGACCACAGAAATAAGTGAATAAACATGTTCAATTTTATTCAATAAACGTTCGTTTGTATTGCTGATAAATATGTCGCACACCTAATAATCAAACCTATAGAGAATCCAATGATGTTGAGTCTTATTTTAACCTGTTGACAGCCTTGAGTCTTGTATACAACATATATCAAAATTCTACATTTTCACTGACCTCCGACTATCCCAGCTACCAAACAACGTATTCAACTATGTCATTCTATATTCCTATGCTACAAAAACTACAGCTTATTGAGAACAAATCTACCGTTCTTGAATTAGAGGAATAGGTATTCTTACAAGGCAAAAGCAACAAATATTGTGAGATTAGTGGAACTCATTTTGTGTACTCTAAATCTTCCACGTTCATAATAAATTTAAGATTGCGTACAGTAAGCTATCAGTGTCCAGCATGAGTCATTTGATTCATTTCAGTAGTAAAATCAACACCAAATACATCTTTCACATCTGGACATCAATACACACACATGGGAACACAGATGAATGACAAAGTTCGCAATCTAAACAACCAATTCAGGGTACTTGTCAGACTACGAAATCAATCAGTAAACACAAAGCAAAAGACAACGTGATAGCAGTACAGGAATGTGATTACAGCTCAAGGTGGTAGGAATTCTGATGGGAGGGGGAGAACAACAAATATGGTGTACAAAGTACATGAATTGGTGCTAAAGGAATGGAGAAGGATATGCTAACAAACATGATAAATACATAATGCGTTAAAGTAAATGGAAAACGATGGGAATATGAATAATGTTTGAGAATAGTGTGTAAGGCAATAAGCAGAAAGAATAAAATAGTAAATAAAGCTGTAGGAAAAGAATAACTCACCAAGGCAATGCAAGGTGAACCGCAAGCTCCTTTTGTACACATAAGTTTGGTTTCAGTCGACGGATTGTTGCAGCTTCTGAACAACGTGGCAATTTAGAGTACACAAAATGAGTTCCACTAATCTCACAATATTTGTTGCCTTTGCTTTGCAAAGATTTATAATGGGGACTAATTGTATGGAGTAGGCATTCAGAGAAATCGTGTTGTCGCTAGAATTGATTGGACCGAATTGATCGATCTCTATTGGCATATAGGCTCCTGTGAGGATGCCAATAGAGACCGATCAATTCGGTCTGATCAACGAAGGGATAATACAAGGAATAACAATAAAACTATACCCATCGGACAAGAAGTGGCTATCGTGGCTCGGTGGTGTAGTGGATAACGTTCTGGTGTTTGAAGCGACCGCTCCCGAGTCCGAATCCCAGTGGGAAGGAGGCAGGTGCATCCAGCTGACGAGTCCACTACTAACCACTATCCATCGTTACTATTCAAAAAGATGTTTGTCCATTGCACCCAACCACACACACACACCACTGTATTTTAATTTCCGAGCTTTACATGGTGATTAATATATTTTCAAGATAAAAGCAGTGTTATTACTAAAATCAATCGAAATTACTTATGATTGAGGTGGCAGAATGACACAGAAATGAGTATTTATCCGAAATTTCTCTTTTGATGTGTATAAGAATGATTACCGTGGAATGATTAGCCATCATCCATTGTTAGTTCGGAACTCCCACCTTTTAAGCAACACAAAACGTTTTACGAATAAAACTGATGAAACCAAGTAAAAGAGTTATTCCTCTTGAAGTGTTATCTTTGCATTATTGGGATTCATTCAGCTCTAGGAACCTGCTGGTATTACTTCAGAGTGGTTTCACTGTTTAGTTGGATAACCATTTCTTCGCTTCATAGCTTAGTCAGATTTCCTAATCAATGAGTTATCGTCAACGAGGTGGGATTTACACTTCTAAAGTTTTATTCTGACGCAATAGAAAAAGAATCTAGTTAGAACTCTGTTCAGTGGAGCAACGGAAACTTGTCATGATGGCAAAATTAAACAGGATATAAAGGGACTGAAAGAAATTCTATTTAAAAATTGAGGCCCAGAGACATTCTTCCACAAGTACGCTAGAAGCAAGGAAAGCAAACAGTGTCACTACAGCTCAAAGAAAGTCACCATGTGTAAATCTAATACTTAAAGGAAATTATTTGCATGAGATAATCAACGGAAGGCTCGATAATGCCATCAGAATATTTTACTGTATCACAAAACTTATATTTCTTATGACCACCAAGTGGGCACAATTACAGTCAGAGAGGTACAGAGATGTCTACTCCCGATGCTTAAGCAGATGGTCAAATTAGTTTGGAGTGAAAATTACGAGGAGTTATCTAACAAGACATCTACTCTAGGGGTGTAATGTCAATCATATCAAGTTGTTTTTAGTACACTGATAGTTTTTGGTAAGAATCGATGTGTAATTCTTAACCCATCTACTGCAGTCAGTGTGAGACTGTAGTCATTGACATTCAAGTGGTGGATGTGTTGGTAGGTCAAGCAATTTGTTTTTAATTTTATACTTCATTCAGATGGCTGGAAGCGTGGTCAGTATTTACTAAAAATATACAGTAATATTTAAAATGCTTGCAGTTTGATAAAAGACAGCTCTTACATACAGCTACTACAAACTTTCTTTCTTGTAATTTTGTTGGTTGATTTGTACGATTTTGACTGCTTTCAGAGTCACTTTCATCATGGACTGAAATCAAAACATCAGGATGAACAATAGAGCAGTAGAGATTACTAATTGACTTCAAGATAAATTTAGGAGTTTTAATAAGTCATGAAACGCAGCATAACGTGTGGGTGTAAGTGTATATCCGCTAATGATATTACATGGTGGTAACACCATATAGCGAACTGACAAAAATGATGAAATGTAAACCAATAGGTTGCAGTTAACTGGATAGTAACGAGTCTTCTGTTGGCTGAATCTAAGTGGGTTACACATATACCGAGAGACCTGGGGTCTCGGACTCGATCCTTTGAGGGTATGAACTCTTGATTAGTCGCAAACTAGCACGAAATAACTATCCAGCGCTCCTAGGTTATTCATAGTTCTTCCACTGATGTCAATTCATGATGAGAACTACCAACCGTTAGCACAAGAGCTCAAGAATGTCCAAACTCATCCTCAGAAGAAATATGATCACATGCATGTATGTTATCATCTTATCACATACATGTACCTCGGTAATTCTGTCTTCATTCAAAAACAATCAATAGCACTCCCTATCTCTAAACTATAGGCGACTGATGCTGCTGATAAATCAGTAGTTAAATAAATATCTGTAGTCTTCCTTCTCATGTTATCTGCTTTCAGTAACGAAACCAAGTTATTCCTGTAATAAAAGTCATTCATTTGCTTTTCGAATGTTTTTAACGTACCATGTGGAAGTTGACCCTGACAAATAACAATATCAGGCTGTAAATATGCACTGGTCACTCATCATTAAGAACTATCAGATACAATGCTTACCTCTCTGTGTATATCTTTTTCTTACATTGTAGCTATCACCAAATCCACGTTACTGAATGACAACAAACTGTGCTTGCCGCAGTAAAATTGTGACCCATTGCACTGGTATAGACATTCAACTTTGCGCATTAGGTTTCAACTATGAAATACCCTTCATATAAAACGCTTTGGGCATCCAGGTAGTATCAACAGTCATCATACGATAGGTTTTGGCCTATTATTATTATCATGTCATCATCCAACTCCTGGAGCAGTCAAACAGTAAACCAATACCCACCTTACCTTCAGTGATTCTTCGAGTGTCAGTTTACCCTAACATACACGTGTTCACTTAGTGCATGAAGTAACAGTTAGATTCCTGAGAACTCACCTGTTAATTCCGATGGTTTAAATACTATTTCAGAAGTTTGTGTCATGAAAATTAGTCCAGAGCAATAATGAACTAGTTTAGGTTGTCATAATCCAAAACAACACATACAATAAAACACAGTAAGATGTAAAACAGATGGCAACTGATTTGAAATGAAAGGAAAACGTGGGCACTGTAGCAAAATATGGTTACACAGTAGTTTACTTACTTGATGTGACGATGACCAAAAAAGTGTGTCTAAAATGTTATCTTGTATACAATACCATTTCATTATGTGTGGTATGTCAAATAAACAAACTAACATGGAATCATTGGAAATGAAGTGATTTTCTCAAGAAATCCTACTATCGGATAGCTCAGAACTCACTCAGCTACCCTGTGTACTTTCGTGTAGTAGACAATGAGCCACAACTACTATGCGTGGGTTGACGATACTACCTGGCTGCCCAAACCTCGGCGGGTGAATAGTATTCGAACCTACGACCGAAGGGTTGAGAGTCATCTCCCTAAATCTGCTAAATATCAAAGCCAACAGTCTACCACAATGTTCTGTCGGCTGGATTCCTCCGCATATGATACGAATAGTTTAAAGGATCGCTGACTCAAAGAGTGCATCAGTAAACAAGAGATATCCAGACAAGCGGGTGTGCACGCATAAGGTGGACTCAACAGACTCACTTTCACAACCTATCCAAATGCTTTACGCCATATACTTGTTTTATTCTTCAAACCCAAGTTCAATAGTGCTCATTCAGCATTCTCACTTAAAAGTGAATGGTACTTAAAAGAAACCAGCAGTTAAAAACCCCATCGTATTTTAATGTCTCATAGATGTGTAGAAGGAAAGAATGTTCCATATATTCATGAACTGTAAGGGATGCACACATAACCGGCGGAATAGATAGTGTATATGCACACGACAACTAGTTCAAAGGCAAAGTCAACATCTGAGGAAGAAACAATTCATTATAAGTAAATTTTATGATTTTCAAAAAAATAAGTTTGCTTAAACTAAAAACTTATAGAATAAATCTATACAGTATTTGTCATTGGTACGCGCATATATCACTGTAAGTACATTAAATAGACAGAAGGATATAGACAAAGATACTCGCGCCCAAATAACGGTTAACTGTAAATAACAAAGAATACGAAGAAAGAAACCATAAGGAAGGAAAGCAATAAAACTAATAATGTTCAGAAAATGGTAACAATGAAGAGAGTGGTACAAATGGCAATGATATGCAACAAAAAATTAAATGTAAAACTGCCACGCGTACATGGACAGAAACGCGCGCACACACACACACATATAAGAAGAAACCAATAGTAAAACAAATCACACCTCCATTTCGGCTAGAGAAGTGAAGAAATACAAGAGAAAAAAGAATTCTACACTACTCTGGTTAATAGTGTTTAACTCACTTTTAAAAAACCAAAACACATTTTGCTGCTTACTTAAACAAGATTCTTTAAAAATGTTGAACCTTGAACAGGTAATATTGATTTGCGGTTTGAATAAGTAGGATGTGAGAATAATTTGCTACTCGTAGATACTTATTATTTCTATATTTCGGAGGACGGAGGGGATTTACGGAGTAATACCTCTGTGTTACGAAGTAGAAAGGAAGGAACAATTAAAGTCATAAAAATACAGCACTCTATGAAAGTAGTTGGCAAATAAACTGGTATTAGTAATCCTCAATACTAATGTTTATTGGTGTGTTTTTCTTCTGCAAAACACAAATTGTCACAGCCGAAATTAGTATATGAGGAGCATGATGATCCTGGTGACGATTATCACTGAATTTGATCAGCAATTGGGATTCAATAAACTTTTAACAATGAATTAAGGATGACTAGAGCCGCATGCTGCATCCTCTGAAGATATCGATTTTGAGCTTTGTTCAGCATGATCAGTATCAGAGGAAACTGAAGTTGATGAGGATGAGTGTCCACTGATTAAATGAATATTTGTAGTTGTGTTTGTATTGATGGTAGTTATAGTAGTAGTAGATAGAGTAGGAATAGTGTTCACAGACACCCTGGCTAATGAACGATAAGAATCCAACCATTCATCAACCATGTTTTCAACAAGTGTATGCTTTGCATGCAGTCGTAGTCGAGCAAGTGGTAGACCTCGTCGTGTACATACTACATCCAGCCAATCTTGAAGGAGTGTATGCGAGAGTTTAGCCTGTGATAATAATAATAATAATAACAATAATAATAATAATAATAATATAGTGGAAAATCGACTAATATATAATTTCATAAATATGACGATTAAAAGTAATTCGCTGGTCAGCAGTCTTAGTAAGTTTAAAAAATAATCTTCCTAATTGTTGGAAAATATAAAAACATATTGCTACTGTGGGTCTGGTGTTTCGTAATAATTCAGTAAGAAGCCATAGGCCGAAATTCAACATATATTATCAGCCAACAGTAAAGTGTATTTGCAACCAAAATCGAACTAATGCTCTTCTAGGGATTTGAGCTGGTTTCATCTAGTGTTGTGATCAGACTTTACCAACGCATCTCATTCAGGTCTTCTTGATTTACCTGCCATAAGGTCTCAAATAGATATAGAGTAGTTTACTTCATATTGACTAATTTTAATATTGACAAACAGATAAGAAGGTATCTGAACTTCAGTAGGGAATATTCTGAAAACTAACGTTCATTTCAAAAAAGATGATCAGTAGATTTATTGCACTGATTGTAGACAATAGAAAATCACAATTAACTGGACAACGACACTGATTCATTCAGATATAAGGTAATGGGTATCAGGTTCAATGTAAGTCTTTTTAGTGTGAAAACTACTTGTAGCAGATTCATCGAATTCGCTTTCATGTAAAAACAACCTGAATACACTTAAGGAACCTAGTAGTTCAACAGTGAAGAATATGTCATCATCTTTGGAATATAACGAGGTGAGGAAGTTCGACTGAATAGTAGTAAAACTAAAGGCGGTTACCGTCATAGTGAGCAACATTTATGCTGAAATGAAGAGAAATATCACTGTTGCCTAGACAGAAATATCAGGTGTTTCGCTCGGGTCATCAGTACGTGAGTTGCGTTGCTTTTGTACTCAAAGAATAAAGCAGTAGAAAAATATCAGCCACGAAGACTGTGTTCCATTTCGTGATGCAGCCTCCCACTGACGGCAGCGGAGTTCTTTAGGCGAGAATGAAACATTAAAAACATTAACACTACTAAAAAAGGTATGTACGATTGATTCCAAGCAAGAATTACAAGAATATGTGACGAAGAAATAACCCTACATAGTGTAGGTGTCAGATAATTGTTAACCGCCCACACACCATCCTAACACTCAAGTCACTTCTGGTTATCATTAAACTGCTACCTCACCGCCATATTTATCTTCCAGATAGTGAACTTCAAACTAAATATCACCGTATTAACTGTCAGAATACTATTCTTCGTCGAAAAATAAGATTCCTTAACCAAAATACCTGGCAGCCCGGAATATAAATGTACAATTCAGCCTCCAGGAATCTTGGAGTTCCTCGGTTAGTCATCACGGTTATATAAGTGTCACTATGTTACAGGGCAGAAAACGTACTAATCAAATGTATCTCAGTCGACAGTTACATGTCCACCTTAAACTGAAGGATACAATAAGAAATAAGGATACTGAAACACGTAGTTGTTTCTTTGTAATCTCCGTTTACGCACTCACTGATTGAAGTTCAGATAAAGCCAAAGGTACGTTCTACCGAAAACTCTTTAACCCACTATCAAAAATCAAATGCTCAGATTTAGTGATCAAAGTGACAATTAACGCAAGCAAAAAACTTAGACACTGCGGTAGGGTAGTGTTCCATAATTGATTGTTTATTTGATATAGGACACAGTGACAAAGTATAATTTACTAGATGTTTCGAGAAGAATTTATTGCTCATATTCATATTGAGGTAGTCACACGACTTTCACACTTCCTTTACTTAGTCCAACAGTTCATCCATTTATTTTAATGGTCGTCCAATTTTCTATATATCTGCAATATGTGATGAGTCATTCTTGTTACATGTGTTAAGTGTGGGTTCAATGAACAAAAATTCTTTGATTAATCTCTCCCTTCACATAGCTATATTGGATTTTAGAATTAACACCCTTTCTCATCATTTAGTGTGATTGTGGGTCAGTGCACGCAGAGTGATAGCCGACTTTTCCTCCAAATTACTAACCTTAATAGGGTTTACCTTTATATATTTCGCTAAATTTTTGTGTTCTGCTATTCAGACTGACTCAGATCGGCTGCTTTGACCTATTTACTTGACCTCACAATCGTCACATAGTACTTGATAGATTAGGTTATTTAAAGACGGCGACCGAGGATTATTGGTTAGACTGACTGTTAGATGTATCCACTTATGACTAGTTTCAATCATTGCCTGTACACCTTTTCAAAAAGGGGTGAAATTCTCTTGCAATGACAACAGGGGAACCAGCCTGATAAAAATAGTAACTAATACTATACGTTGCATAATCATTCGACACCTAACTTAAGTTCAAGAAAGGAAAAACAGAGAAAACTAAGTGGGTGTTGTTATCTAACAGTTATGTGTACCAACCGAATTTTCATTCTGAGATCCTGAAATACGATCGTATTTATTGGGCACCAACAACCTGAAAACAATGTTAGCCTCAGTCGACTCATGAGTGATGATAGTATCTGTTACTAAAAGGGGTACTTAGGAAGTGCATTACTAACTGACGGCTTCACATATGAACACTAATATTTGTGCTAAAGCTTATGGATGGCTACTCTACACCAAGTGGTGTCCTCCACGAATTTCCACTTTTTGCACTTTTATTTAGTTTATCATGGATGTGTCAATAGAGATCTTTGTTTCTTTGTCCGACTTTACAGAGGATGATTTTATTCAAGGAGATTCCTTAGTCGACTTTGGAAATGCAGACAACATAGTCCCGTTAGATAAGAACACTGGTAAAGTGCTGAGTTGATTAACAATTTCATAATGCCTGGGATGAGTTTCTCACCTACCAAATACAAATTATTACTCCAGGATTGGTCTGAATGCCTTGTTTAATTACAGCAAAGTAGGGTAAGCTCAGGTGGGCTGGTGGCCAATGAAATCTCAGTATGGATGCATAAAGTTCGACTAGCTTTCGTCAACTTACACTGCTTGTACGAACAATGAGCTATCCGAATGCATACCAAGATTCACATTTGTAGCTCAGCAGTTTACTGTCTCGCCATGTGGTTGTGAAACATGAACACTAAAGGCGCATGATATAAAAATGGTCCAGATATTCAACTATCGTTACCTTTATGGTATAGGTCACATGTCACAGAACTAGTACATGAGTTCATGTAGAGGTTAGGCACAGAGTCTTAGGAAAAAAACGTAAGTCAGACGATGAGGCTATAAACCTGAATTGACCAAGGTAGCCACGGAATTCGCTAAAAATGGTGAGTTGTCATCAGCCCTAACGTGTAATTCTAGCTAGAGTATAAATGAGTTTTTTAAAAACTAAGGATGAATAGGAAAAGATGTGGTACCAATCCGAGGAGTTTGTAACTGTTAATCTTGGCATATAGGTTTCGTCATTGGAGTAAAGAAGGTAACGGAAATAGATATTTGAAAATTTTGGGTAGTATGACTTGGATCACAGTGGCGCAAATACATAAACACTTAATCTTTATCTAAACCATATCATTTGCCTTTTTTTTACCTTCCTCTGTTGTTTTTTCGTTTTTAATGACTATTGATATTATCAACCTCACTTCCTTGTTTTTGCTCCCGCTGATCTCCATTTCAATATTGCTGTGAAGCGTAGCAAACTGGAATGTCACACATTAGTGCATGTATCTGGATCTGTCGGCTAACTTCAGTCTGTAGTGACTACTATATTAATAACTTACTCAGACCATGGAAAAAGTAAAATATTGAATTTCAGAAGCTTTTGGCAATGAAGTTCAAGATGAGTGCTTCCTTTCATATGTAGTTCACCAGTTGCACACGCCTATTGCGGTGGATATGATAAGCCCAATGACGTTGGAAGACAGCTCCAAATGCTTAGAACATTAGATCAATAAATGCCAATGTCAAAACTTCTCTAAATAAGCTGATATGCTAACATTGAATGATCATTTCGTTCGTGAGACAATAAAAAGCTCCAAACTGGAATAATGACCTTGGATCATCCATTACACTATCGAAAAGTGATGTATTACATTGATAACACATACAAATACTTCAATAAAGATCTTTAGATATAGGGACCATTTTGATTATTCGTAGTAAGCAAGTATCTTTCCTATAATACAACAAATTCAATACAGAAATAACAATTTGCTCAGCAAAAGAATTAAAGATTATGGATTTCCCTTCCAATGGTGTCAAAAGTGCGTACTGATGAATATTTCGAAGGGAGGGTAAAATACCACAAAATCGTAACTCGCTGGAATCGGAGAGGCGAAATGACGCCGGTTGGTGAAAGCCTTCGAAAAGCCGATTAGCCGGGCCGACATATCTTCTCTCCCTCGATGAAAGCGAAAGTAAACATGGAGACATGCAATGTCCGCACTACGTTTGAACCTAGCAAGGCTGCCCAGATTGCAAACAAGATGGGAAGGTATCGCATTGAAGTGCTAGGAATTTGCGAAAGTAGATGGAATGGAAGTGGACTATCCAAACTGTCAACTGGAGAATCAATAATCTACTCCGTTAACGTCACCCAGACGACAACCACTGAGTTATGGAGTGGTTATCATAATGTCCCCAACAGCATCGAAGGCTCTCATTCAGTGGGAACCAGTCCCCTCCACCATCAGAACAGCAAGGTTCAACTCAAAAGGAAGGAAAGTCACAATCACACAATGCCACGTTGCACTATGCACCTACAAATAATGCAGATGAAGAGAAGAAGAATGAATTCTACAGACAACTGCAATCAACACTCAACAAGACCCCAACCCAGTTGTTGACATCAAAATTCTAATGGGTGGGGTGACATGAATTCCAAAGTGGGAGTAGAAAACACAGGAAGAGAACTAACAATGGGCAGAGAAACGCTCGGTGAAATGAACGAGTATGGAGAATTGTTTGAAGAATTCTGTGCATTCAACGATTTGGTGATTGGAGGTTAGGCACTATGTTCAAGCACAAGGATATCCACAAAGCGACATGGATTTCACCAGACACCAGCACAGACTGCACTAAAAATTAGATCGACTTTATATCAATCTCAAGAAAGTGGAGACGCAGACTACTGGACACAAGGTCAAGAAGAGGAGATGTAGGGTCACTCTACTACCTAGTTCAAGGAACCTGCCTCTTAAATCAAGTTAAAAGCCTTCAAGGAAGCTGCTGATAGACCACAGTCCAAGTCCAACACCCAGAACACAAACTGAACTGAAGCACGAAACTACAAAGAAATTCTTCACGTCAGTCAACCATCACAACAAAATGGGAGATATCCAGCAACATCCATGAAGAAACCTGTGTGAATGAACACTGGAACTCTTTGAAAGCCATGTCGAAAGAAACCTGCATAACTGTATTAGGAAGGAAGAAAAAAGAAGATAAGGAATGGATCTAGACGGACCTCCACATGGAAGCTGATAAAGCAGAGAGAGGAGGATGGTGATGCTGAAGCAGTAGATAAACCAGTGCAAGGATGAACAACGAAAAGAGGGACTGAATAGAATACAACGTATAAAACACTACACTGGACAAAGAAGTGAAGAAGAGTGCACGCAAAGGCAAAAGACACTTCCACGACACACTGGCAAGTGAAGCAGAACAGGCTGCTGATAGCAGAGACAGACCTGACAACATTGCATCAAATAACCAGGCTACCATCTGAGAAGACATCAACACAGATGAAGCCAATAAAAGATGATGAAAAAAATTTAACTATTAAAGAGGAGAAACAAAAGAAACGATGGGCTGATCACTTCAAAAAGCTCTTAAATCTACCACCACCAGCACTTCGTCCACAAATACCACCTGCAGCCCAGACACAGAACTACAAGTCAACACAAGTCCTCCGACGAAAGTCAAAGTCCTGAGCACCATAAAGCTACTGAAATACAGAAAAGCAGCAGGACCAGATGGAATCCCACCACAAGCACTGAAAACAGACTCAGAGACAACAGAGGACATGCTCACACCACTATTGCAAAAGGTTTGGAAGGAAGGGAAGGTACCTTCCCAATGATTGGAAGAAGGGCTACCTTGTCAGACTCCCAAACAAGGGAGACCTAAGTCTTTGCAAGAACTGGCGCAGAATCACGCTCCTCTCCACCCAGAGCAAGCAACATATTATGCCGCATCATCTTGGAGAGACTAAAGGATGCGCTCGATTCAAAACTCCGACCGGAACAGAAAGTACAAATCATGTTAGGATCAAATTGCAACGTTTCGCATCATCATAGAACAGAATATTGAATGACAGTCAACTCTACACCTCAACTTCATCGATTTTGAAAAGGCCTTCGACAGAGTCAACCGACAAGTAATTTGGCAGCCAGCTGCTTCAACACTACGCTTTTAGTACCACAAACCTTTATCAATCTCTATATGAAGACGCCACATGCCAGCCAAGTAATTCACAATGGGAAGTTCAGTGATGCTTCTGAAGTGAAGACACGAATAAAACAAGGCTGTCTACTATCACCCATGATATTCCTGATTGTAGTGGACTGGATCATGCAACAAACAGTGAGGAGCAAGAAGAGGGCGATACGCTGGACCGCAGAACAGAACCTAGAAGACTTGGATTTCTCCGATGACTTGTGTCTAATGTCTTGTGGCACAAACTTGAAGATCTGCAGGCGAAATCCAACAAGTTGGCAGAAAAGGCAGCCAAGGAAGACGGGACTTCAAGTGAATGTAGAGAAGACAGAGGTGATGAAGATACTCAACCAACAGCAACAACAAGCTCCAATCACCATCAACGGGAGAAAATTAAAAGAAGTAACCTCCTTCACCTATCTAGGTAGCACTGTCCCAACTACCGGCGGCACAGACAACGATGTCAAAGTCAGAGTCGGAAAGACAGCGAGACAGGCGTTCATAAGCCTGAAACCAGTGTGGAGATCTTCTGCACTGCACTCAGCATGTGGAACAAGATCCGGATTTTCAACACTAATCCAGTCAAGTCAGTGCTCCTATGTTCAGAGAATTGGTGCGTTACGAAAGTGATTCCCAACAAACTACAGGCATTCATCAACAACTGCCTACGCTGGCTCGTTACTGAAGATCAGATGGCCAGAAATAATAAGCAACAAGGAGCTCTAGCTGGCAACGAACCAACCAAGAACCTATCACCCAACAAATATGCAGAAGGAAATGGAGATGGACTGGGCATACACTGAGAAGGCCGACTGGGGACATCAAGCGTCAATCCCTCGAGTGGAATCCCCATGGGAAGCGACGAGTCAGGCGTCCGAGGAGAGGGTAACATGGAGGAGATCGTGTGAGGAGGAAATGAGAGCTTGTGAGCTGTCGTGGAGCCAGGTTCAAAAGATTTCAGAGAACAGAGTTCAACGGAGACGTGCTACTGAAGCCCTATGTTCCATTAGGAACCCAAGGGACAAATAATGATAGTAATAATAATAATTCATCATGGACTGACATCAGTTTGGGGACTATTGAAAACCTGGGAGCACTGGACAGCTGTTTCGTCCTGAAATCTAGCCGGGTTGTAGGTGCGTACTGCTGAGGAGTCCCATACTAGGGCAAAACGGCTATCCAGTGCTCCCACGTTTACAGCGGTTTCCCAGCTGATGTCATTCCGTGATGAATACTGTCTCAAAATTAAAATCGCCATTCACCTCAAAAATACATTCATAACTAAGTGTTAATTAATGTATATGATGTCGAGTTACATTATTATCGTAAATATGTCTCATTATTCCTTGCCTTGAGGTAATGCAATGTTTGTAACTAAGAAGTTATCTGCAGCTTCACTATCATATACGAGAGTTAAAAACAGCAACCAACCCCCTAAATTCCAGATGATACTACAATTGAAACTGCGATATCAACACCAAGGAACTGACTATACAAGCCACTGTGAGAGAATTATATAGTTACTTCATTTTAAACTTACTTTGTTTCACACTATTATTAATGCTTTCGTTCGATTTACAATTCTCGTTTACCGCTCACATCACGAAAACTTAGTTTAAACCTGTCATACTGCTATCATGTTTCCCTTAAATTAATGAGTAACACTGACTGGCATATGTTCCCATTTATTTTATGTATTTTGCAAAATTTTGCCCATGTATCGATTTTTGAAAATAACTCACTGTCCTTACATCTCATTAAAAACTAGCACATACAAACAGTGATTCTAAATTTACTGAATATACGATTGTACAGCTTTTTGAAAATAAATTCGCTGAACTATTGGTTCTATGGTTTAATTGACATGTTCAGTATACACTTAGCATTCGCCAACTTTCTTCATCCCCAGCGTTGACGGGATACATGATTGGTTATCAAAGCAGAAGTACGTTGTACAGCAGTCTACCCTGTCGTGCCATACTACTGTGAAACATAGTCCCTGAAAGTAGAAAATATAAAGAGGTTACACGCTTTTCATCATGTGTTCCTGTAGCACTGCTGCCGTTTGGTGGGATCACTGTGTAGGCGATGTCCATGTTAGGTGTAGCATATTAAGCAAGGAAAAAAGTCTCTGAATGCAGTTGTGAGCCTTCACCAGTTGAGACAGTCTGGATAGGTGCTACGGATGCTGAGCCATTATCTACCTCGATGTACATTGTTTGTCGAAGTTGGATTGGGTTGAAAGAAGGTCCAGAGTGACAGCAGCAAGATGTGGCACCACTTTATGAAGTCTTCGGCTAGTGGTCTGAGCAGTGTAGGGAGATGTAGGCTACCTGTGTTGGATCGTTGAGATGAAAGGAACCAATGGTTGGAGACATCGCTGAAAATCGGTTGCAACAACACAAATGTATTCCCTTTCTGTCCTCTTTGGATTATTGAACATCACTAATTTTCATCTAGTTGCTTTATCTCATCTCATTTTGTCTGCCTTAATTTCATTATTTTTTCGATCCACTTCTTATTTTTGTGCAGCTGCGAAGCGTGGCAATGTGAACCCATGCAATTCTGTGTTAGGTTCTATGTTGGTTTATCTGTCTGTCATTGTGTGGGGCAGAATTCAATCTTCATACTACTACATTAGATGTTGTTCATGTGTGTAGCACTATCAGGTTTTACCTTGTAAATAATGGACTGATTATCATTAAAACAACTTGGAATAATTAATGAGTAAATGCCTTCTGAATATTTCTAGTGAGACGTTAAATAAAAAAATGTCAACTGGCTAACATCAACTGTAAGTCGTAAATCATAAGCTCATAAAGTAGAATAAGTATCTAGTAAGTCTTACATATGTACTTACCTCCTTTTCTGTAGTAAAATGAATTGGTAACAAGGCGCCTTGTCTATCTACAAGTGGGAGATATACAAAAGCATTTTGCTGAGATATTGCACTTGATATAGTTGTCACACCACCGTTAGATGATGGTTCAAGTACGGAAGCCAACTGTGCATCAGAAATGGAAGTTGAAAGGGGAACAGTGGTCAGTGGCAGTTGAGTATAAGTACTTGCTTCATCCGGTGGCGTAGGACTATGCTTACGTGAAGAACAGGATGTACGAGGTGATTGGTATGGAGAACAACTGGTCCCAGTAGTTTGGTTAGTTTCTGCAGAAGACTCTGCATTAGCAGTATTTGAAAATATTGGATACGGTTCAATAGGCACAAGAGCAGTGAAATGACCTCGAGTAAAACCCAAAACAATAGGATTCCGAGAACAAAAGCTTTTCTCCCAAAGGAGTGGAAGGTAAATACCTAAACAAATAAATTGAAAAATCATTGGAGTTCGGTTCAGGAGAGGTCAACAGTGTATAATTAAAAAGAACGCCTCGTACGTTCTAGGCGACATATTTATAACCCCAGAAGACATAGGGTCTTCAGGTTGAGCTACTCTAAGAGATTCCATTTGGTTGGAAAACATGTACATGATTAGGATGACACATGATGGTGCACCAACAGACATAAGCCAAATCTAACTATCGTTTATTTCATTATGCCATGTAATAAGCCATCCACCTATTTCAGTTAAATGCTCTCAGAGGTGTCTGAATATCAGTGAAATGCATTCGAATCACCATGAGATGACAGATTTTTAAACTAAGTATCAATCTACACAATTCGACAAAATGCTACTGAGTTTATACTCCACATATTGAACAAACTTATAGTTCCAAACACGTACAGAAAAACTGAATGTATCAAAGTGTTGCGAACCCGTGCTCACAAAGCAAACCAAACACATGAAGATAGTCCGATTATAAACAGACTATCGAGATAGTGAAATCAAATCTATGTATTTAAAAATAGATAATTATTGATGTTGCATTTCGTGGTCTACTTCAAAATTCTTCTCTTTTAGTCTAATTTGATGTACTTAACTAGTTTATGACTTTGAATTTTCCCTTCCGCAAGCATTTTTGTTATCATCCACTTTTCCTTCAGTTTTACTGCAACAACAGAGTATCCAGTCATTCTACAAACAATCTTTTAGAATTATTTCACTTCTGTCAGTTTATCCTTTGATTCAAGCATTTCATCAACCAAATGAATGTAGATATCGATGTTGGATAGTGATTCAAGGTGAAATGAAAATCTGGGCCGTGGTGGTAGGATTTGAACTAGTGGCTTCCAGGTTACCAGCCCAGTGCTCGGCCAACTGAGCTACGAGATGCAGCTGATGACCAGATCTTAATTTAACCTCAATCATCAAGGGTTTTGCCCAACTACCATGTGAATTCATCATTTGTTACTACCAACTTGAAACTCTCCCTCACCAATTCAGGTTGAGTTGGATTGGGATGAGAAGTCGTGGTTGGGTAGCCAGTGTGAATAGGTTGATCGAACAGTTACAGATCACGAATTCAGGTGGCAGTTATGCAAAACCCTTGGTGATTGCGACAAGATTCGAACCAGTGAAATTAAGATCTGTCCAGCAGTTGCGTCTTGTAGCTCAATTGGAAGAGCATCCGGCCGGTAACCCAAAAGGTTGTTGATTCAAATCCTTCCGCTGCCCAGATTTTCATTGCACCTTTAATCATTAAACAATATCAATACAAGTCTGTCAAAGCACGTCTGTCTCAGGTAATCAAACTGAGAATGTAGATAAGCAACGTTGGCTATATATATATCTTAATTTCTTATAAAGTCGCAAAATTTGCAGGAGACTGGATAACCTGTTATTTCTTGTCGTTGTTTAGTTGAAACCAGATTGATCAGCCAATGTTGGCATATGGACTCCTATGTGAGCTGCTCCATGCGGCCGGTAATTTCACTTGGATATTCCAACTAGTAGGTTGCACATCCGAACACCGCTCTACCTACAGAGGTTTGGGGAGCTAAGTAGAAACATACGCCCTCATACAATAGGTGTAGCTCATTGCCTACTGCGCAAAACGTGCACAAGATTGCTGAGTGTGGTCTCGATTTTGGCATTTCGTTCTGAACAAGACGGAAAACACATCTTGGATTCCACTGCTAATCACTATTTATCGTGTAATGAATGAATCCTACACCACTTCATTCTTTTGTTTTATGCAAGTTGATAACGAAAATGAATGATATATGTAAATTACCAGGCAGAAAGACGATGACAGTTGGATACTGACCATCAAAAAGTAAATCTCTGGGTGATAGGTTTGCATTGAAATTAATCTTACTTCACTAAGAAAAAGGTTGTACGCACTTGAGTGAAAAGCATGATAAAAGTAAAATTAACAAGGGAGCTAAACAACTTCAAGTGAGAAATTCCTACGGTAACTGCTGTCTTTTATTTGATTGTTTATTTTTTTACTTCAGATACCTGTACCCATAGGTCAGGAAAATCTTATGCAACTAAAGAATCACGGTTCAAAAATGGACATTTACTTCCAAGCTTTGTCTGGTCGTTAGACGAGAAAGACAATGAATAAATGCTTACACTTGGGGATTTTACAACTCAATGTTACAAGAAAAAGCGAATCATATTTTGTTGACGTATCTGTGTTAAAATATATTTTTGGCACTTGTCCACTCACATCATCTGCGGTCTCGACTGGCGAGATATCCGATTACCTATGAAAGGGCGAGTATAGTGTTTTGTGGTCCGTTATGTCTGAGTATGCGGCTGAAACATCGCGTTTAAAAGTAAAAGATATGAAGCAGTTATAGGTTTCTGAGCATAGGTATCTTCGTAGCACTGCTCACGTTTGGTGGGATCACCGTATGAGCAATGTTGAGGTTAGACGAAGGGTACTAGACAAGTTGACTGATTATGTTGTGAACCTTCATAGGCTGAGGTGGCTTTGACATGTACCGTGCATGTCGATCCACTGCTTACCTCGACGTGCCATGCTAAGAGAAGGTGGATTAGGTTGGAAGAGGGTTCAGAGTGGCCAGACCAAGACATGGCACCACTCGATGAAGTCCCTGACTGTTGGCCCGAACCGTGTAGGAAAGTGTAGACTACCTGGACGGGGTACAGAGACTGCAGGAATCAGTGGTTGAGGACTCTTGGTGACATGGCTGAAAATCGGTTTCAGTGGCTCAAATGTATTCACTCAACGACATGTTCGAATGTTTGAATTATTCAGCCAACCCTTATCTCCAAGTTGTTCATTCAACTTTAATATCACATTTTCTCTATACTTGTTTTTTGTATGCTACTGTGGAAGTGTGACAACTTGAACCAACACACTTGTGTGGGAGGTTCTACGTTGATTTTGTCTGTCGGACTCTTTTGACTACACTTTGATTCATACTTTGTGAAGCCTAACAGTGGAATCCAACATCTTTTTTCTTTCCATCGTTCGAAATATCTCGGAGATGGGATAAACGGGATTATTACTGAATGTTCACTTTCAGAATTCAACATGCAGTCTACTATTTGAAGACAGAAATAAACTCATTCGTTGAATACGATCCACATCTTGCAACTCCACAACGGTAGTGATAATATAACTTATTCAGTAGCTGGAATAGCTATAGAAATTAATCTCCTGGTGAGATCCAGAGACTGTTCAGTTCATAGCTTCTTAGAACTATAATAATTATTAAACAATATGTATCAATCAGAAACCCTTATTCTTGAATCTAAATTTATTGTTATCCTGCCAGCCATCTCTCTAATGCTACAAAAACACTTCCATGCTACAACAAGTAAATCGTGGATGTAAGTTTCACAGGAAACAACAACAGTAATAATGGACAGAATTTAGGTATATCCCAATAAGAGGTATAGAATTGAATTGACAAAGGATAACTGTCATAGCCAAATACTATCAGAATTTACATTGAAACAATAAAATTAGCTCTTTAAGTGTCAGAATATACATTTTATTTGAGATAAAAAATTTTATTAAGTGCATACTGTATCACATGATATATATATATATATATATATATATATATATATATATATATATATATATATATATAAAGTGAAGGGATTAGTGAAAATAATTGATCCAAAAATCAACACACGTATAAACACATTGTAGTAATATGACTAACCTTGAAAATTTGCTATTCCTATTGGTTCACCACGATAATTTTTAATGTACTTTACACCATAGACAATAATTGGTCGCCGAAGGACATGACTTAGAGCAAATATATGAATTTGTTCTAAAGCTTCACCTAATTAGAATAGTACAAACAGAAAGTAATGCATGCATTCATGCATAAATATACGGTGATTAGATGAAAGTTTATCTTATTCAGTTAAATAATATTTGAATGAACAATTGTGAAAACCATTGTAACAATCTGCATTTATTTCGAATATTGTACTTTTTAAAGACACATCAATGTTTTATACAGTTTCATAGAAGTTAATATGTTTAAAAAGCTATGCATTCTTTTTCAGGGAAATGAGACCAGGTCCTGAGAGGCTACGAATAGAAGTATTCGGAAAAGATGACCCAAGATAATTACTCTCAGCAAAGTTACTAACGCCAGTGCTTGCAGTCAGATATAATTCTCTTTGACTGGTCTAGCACGTTAATTCTAAAAGTTTATGAGAAAAGGAAAAAACAATCAAGTGATAATTATACATAAAACAGTCTAACTTACATATTTTTGAGACTTTTGAGATCGGAAATGGTGAATCTAAGATACCTATGCTATGACGCTAAACAATTAAGTTTCTAGCTTTCATTAGATCCAGGAAAGTAGGTATACTTACGGGGAAATGAATCTAGTCACTTGACATGATATCATTCTTCTTCTGTTTTTACAGCAGCATTTTACGCTCACAGGATCGTTTATTACGTATTTCACATGACTAAAAGCACTGTACTCAAATACTCATGACTTTTCACAGTTTCATTCTAAGATAGCTGTGTTGCGTAATTTTCACTAGGGATGCTCACTCATTATTTCCCCTTACACTCACACAATACACGTATTTCTCAATGTTGTACTATCTTCCTTTGACTTTACACACGGTTACGATGCAGCACGGCTATTTAAATCTAGACAGCTAAAGAGAGTTATGACCTGTGGGCCTAATAGTCGAAAGTTGAATACATTCTCCAATAAATTGGAGTGTAAGAGGGTACAACAATAACATAATTACATGGACAGATGAGATAAGGGATACACGGAGACCACAAAAAACAAGAGAGAAAAATATATAATTTATTATAATGACTAACGTATATAAACTGGTAAAATATAGAGCTATAACTCATTGGTTCACGCAGTTGACTTTCAAGCAATGGGTCATGTTTTCGAACATCGCTGTGTCGACCGAAGTATGGGAGGCAAGATACAATACGAGTGGCATGTTGCCTAATGTGTAAACCTATAAATAGCTTGATGAGTTAATATAAGAGTGAAACTTGGGCACTGTGGTCAACTGTAATTCCATTTTAGTCTGTTTATTAGAAACATAACACAGTGAAATAGTATCATTTACTGGATAACGTTTCGGACAATTTTTTGTCCATATTCATATTACCATTTAAACATAAAACCTTAACGGGAACAACATTAAGAAATACTAATGAAGACAATGGTAAGGCTGTGGAATGGATAAACCGAAACAACTAACTAGTGAACAATGAGACTATCAGTGACACAGTCTACTCAATGCAATTATGTAAGTAACTGAAGAGTTGATTGAACAAAATTTTTAAAAGATGTGGAAAGAATTTGTTAACAAATTATAAATAAAATCAATAACACCAGTTTTATTTGTTCACTTGAATACTTCAAAAAATGTCAACATAATTTGAATTTGAGTTGGTAACTTTTTACAAGATGATCAATTCAAAATATAGTTGAAGATGTATCAATTGTCAGATTTAATTTCCATGTATCCATACATAAATAGGAGTGTTACAATGTAGATTAATATGAGTAGCTATCAATTGCTCACATAAATTGGCAGAGTTTGTTACAATGAGGAAATCTAAGCAACAAAGAAATGGTCTACAGTGAGTTAGTTTGTTGCAAATAAATGAACGCGACACTTGAGCGGATTAATCTGACAGACAAACGGAATCGATGTAGAACCGCGGTACAGAAGTATACAGATTCAATTTCTCACACTTCATAATAACATACGAAGAACACGTGAATGAAAGGGTGATATCAAAATATGTTGGGAAAGAATTTGAAAATCAAAGTTAACGAAAATGTATGAACTTTAGAAGACGTTTAAGAGTTAATACATGTGTCATTGGGACCGATTTTTAGCCATGTCTCCTCAACCATTGATTCCTGTCATCATGACAACCTAACACAGGTAGCCTACATCTCCCTACACCGTTCAGATCACTAGCCAGAGACTTCATAAAGTAGTGCCACATCTTGCTGCTGTCACTCGGGACCTTCTTTCAACCCAATCCAACTTCGGCAAACAATGTACATCGAGGTAGATAATGGCTCAGCATCCGTAGCACCTATCCAGACTGTCTCAACTGCATTCAGAAACTTTCCTTCCTTGTATGTGACCTAACCATGCGAACAGAGCAATCATGTCATGCAGTCGGCTATTACTAATGACAGTAATCGAGCTTAGGAAACACGGTTCATCCTAACACGGATACATGAGGTGACTTTACTTTTACTTCATAATGTATCACTGTCTTTTTTTGACATCGGTAATTTTTTAAAGGATACAGCTATCATATGTTCCAACTGAAGTCAATAAATGCAGTTTACATAATCAAAATAAGAAAAACATGTCTATTGAACACTTTTTGAGAAAAAATCGAAATGGACTAAGAAACATTGTGTTCATTCGTGTGGTAGACGATGAGTCACCTACTGTGTAAGGGTGATAATACTATCTGGTTGCTCAGGTAGTGTTCGAACCCATGATCCACTAGTTGAAACTCAACTTCCTAAACCAATGGGGCCACGGTTTAACTCATACCTCTTGAAAAAGAAGAAATTTTCATAAGCCCTTTTGGTGGGTCTTAAGTGAGCCAAACATGGAGCAGCAAAACTCTGAGAAGTGTGCATATTCAAGTATCCAAAAGATTGTACAAAACGCTAAAATTATTTGTCACTACTCTGTAACTGGCTGACTTAAATTTCAGTCTCAAAAACTTATGATCATTTCACCATAAGTCTGTAATTAGCATTTTTAACCACACATGTATTGGGCAAAAAATCCATCTAGGTAAGTATATAAGGTGATATGACTCACTTCACAGTGCATAAACACCGATTACATGATAGTGAGCGATGAAGTAATAATTAAAACCACACCAAGGCTTAAACTACCTACTGAACATTTTACGCGTACAAAGAAGCAACGAAAAGGGAATGCAACCAAATAGCACAACAGTCTGTAGAAGTAATGTTCCCACCCCGAAATGAAGCAAATTTACTTTCAAAAAGATGGTCAGATCGGCAACACCGAATAGTTTCCCACCATCATATAGATCCGATAAAGTAGGCTACAGATCATCTTTTATAAAGAGGAAGTGGTACGTTCGCTAGTTAGCTACATTTTTTGAGATCTTCATTTTCTACAAGTTTGAACTGCATTTTTCCGCCACAATATCCCATAGTGATTCTAGTCAATTTTCAATTCATTTTTACTGTTCGTATGTATTGGTATTTTCCTGTTGGCTGGTATCTGCTTAAAGGTCACTAAATAATTTCTTTCTTATAGATTAACTGTGAAGTGATGTATAAATGTTAGAGCTATAATCCAGTTTTGAATTATTATGACTAAATTGACAAACTATTCAATCCAGTGGACATTTTTTCAGCTATCTAGAACTGGAAATAGTTGAATAAGGGTTGCTCCACTATTCACTGCCAGGTAATCTGTGTTATTACATTGTCAAGCAATCTACCACCTGAATCGTATGAGTCTATAATTAGATTTATTCGGGAGCATTATTAGTACAATTAATCGATTTATAAATAGATTTTTTAAATGACCTTTCAGACGATTTTATGAATGTCGTTATGTTTAGTAAGCTTCGTGTTTTTGACTGCCTTAGCCGGTTAGCAAAATCATTATTTCTTACTGTATTCTGTCTAAAATATCAACCGTGAAGACTGGGACAGAAGTCACTTGATATTATTCAACAACGATCATATCACAACAGCATGATCGATGTCCAAACACCGCATAAACTAACATACATTTCGTGACTAACTACAACGTTGCAAATCATTACGGTTTCAGCCAGTTGATTCTCTTTATTTTGAGCACTGTTGTTAACCTTCATCTATTTGTTCTTTCTCTTCTTATATACATTTTTCTACTTTGATACCAATGTTCTTTTATTGACTTCTTTTAGAAACGTTGCTGTGAAGTGTCACAACTTGGAGTGGTACACTTTTTTGCTGGGTTTCACGTTAGTTTATCTGTTCATCTGTCTCTACACTATGTCAGTGTCGCTAGTGAACGGCGGCCTGCCTGAACCCTGGGTTACTAAATTTATCCACCGAACATTTTTCATTAGATTCTTTCCTTTCAATTTGTTTAAATCATTTAAATATGTCATTTGAACGTATCATGTACTCTTGCACATTTTTAAACTGTTTTCAACTCTCCATTTCTCGAGTCAATAACAAAGCAGAGGAAAAATGTTGCGTTATATGGAAATGAACTTTTCGATGCACAAAATTATATCATATTTCTGTCCGTTAGGTGCTTAGCTTGGATTACAGATTTTTGTACCGTCTGAATGAACCACCACCACCACCAAAATTGCGCTTGCATTTCTGTTGTTTCTTCATTATGGACCGGATGACCATCCAGAACCAGCTGGCTATTTCACATTATTTCCTTGAATACTGTTATTATTAACATCATGCAGATGCGATAACTATTTCGTCTGAAATTATTGTTCTAGGAGTGAATTTGTTGAAAAATTACATGCTGAAAATTCTATACTGTCATACATATTGTTTGAAATAAAGCGATTATTATTATTATTATTATCATTATTATTATTATTAAAAAAGAGCACTTGAACAATAAAGACTATAGATAATAGTGATGTTATCCGTCGAAAAGCATGGAGACCAATAGAGAACAATTAGTTATACAACAAAATGACAAAGCCTGTCAGCTTAATAGATTATGAAGATTGCTTCTGTATCGAAATCCTGTGGTGGAGAGTAACATGGTGAGTAATCCTCATAAAGTAGTAGACATAGTTAACTTTGGACAATAACTTAACTAGATTTGCGTGAAATATAATGTTTTTGTCTGACTACTTCAACAATGTAGAAAAGACAATACTTTCTTTAAAGGTCAACGTAGAAAAAGGAATGTACCAGACAGTTTTACGGTTGCTGACTGCAGATGAATGATGGTGCATGGATGATCAAATCAAGGTAAAAGTTTCAATTCATGATACTTAAATATTTATATCACCAAATCATAAGGCAATGAAGTCGTCATACTGGGACGATCTGCAAGTTCTATGGAGGTCTGACTAGTTGGCTTGGGTATTCGACTTTTGAGATATGAACTTCAGGTTTGAGGAAACCAACACCCAATTTGGCCTTGGTAACCGGATAGTTAT